AGTATATGTACATCTACATGATCCCCTTGTCATTTTACGCGATCCCCTCATATATGTTCCATAATGAAAAAGAGTATGTACATCTATATGATCTCCTGGTAGTATATGTACATGTAGATGATCCCCTTGTCACCTTACGTGATCCCCTTATTTCTGTTCAATGAATACTATAGTATATGTACATCTAGATGATACCATTGTCATCTTACGTGATCCCTTTATTTCTTTTCAATGAATACTATAGTATATGTACATCTAGATGATACCATTGTCATCTTACGTGATCCCTTTATTTCTGTTCAATGAAGTCTATAGTATATGTACATCTACATGATCCCCTTGTCATTTTACGCGATCCCCTCATATATGTTCCATAATGAAAAAGAGTATGTACATCTATATGATCTCCTGGTAGTATATGTACATGTAGATGATCCCCTTGTCACCTTACGTGATCCCCTTATTTCTTTTCAATGAATACTATAGTATATGTACATCTAGATGATCCCCTTGTCACCTTACGTGATCCCCTTATTTCTGTTCAATGAATACTATAGTATATGTACATCTAGATGATACCATTGTCATCTTACGTGATCCCCTTATTTCTTTTCAATGAATACTATAGTATATGTACATCTAGATGATACCATTGTCATCTTATGTGATCCCTTTATTTCTGTTCAATGAAGTCTATAGTATATGTACATCTACATGATCCCCTTGTCATTTTACGAAATACCCTCATAGCTGTTCCATAATGAAAAAGAGTATGTACATCTATATGATCTCCTGGTCATCGTAAGTGAGCCCCTTATTTCTTTCTGTTCAATTAAAACTATATTAAATGTACATCTACATGATCCCCTTGTCATCTACGTGATCCCCTTATCATCTTACGTGATACCTTTATTTATTTTCAATGAATACTATATAGTATATGTACATCTAGATATTCCCCTTGTATTCTTACATGATCTCCTTACATCTGTTCCATAATAAAAAAAGAGTTTATGTACATATAGATGATCCCCTTGTCATTAATTTGATCCCCTCATATATGTTCTAGAATGAAAAAAGTATATACATCTAAATGTCACCTGGTCATCTTACGTGATCCCCTTATTTCTGTTCAATGAAAACTATAGTATATGTACATCTAGATGAGCCCTTGGTCATTTTATTTGATCCCCTTACATCTGATATGTAATGAAAAAAAGTTTATGTACATCCAGATGATCTTGTAATCTTACGTGATCCCCTTATTTCTGTTCCATGAAAACTATAGTATATGTACATCTAGATAATCCCCTGTGCATCTTACGAGTTACCCTTATATCTGTTCCATAATAAAAATGTTTATATGTATTTCCCTCACATATGTTCTTTAAGAACTACAGTGTTTATACACCTTAAAGACCAGATGACTCTTTCTTATATATATTCTATCACTACTAATGTATATTTACATCTAGATGATTCCCTGCTCATCTTACATTAACCTCTCATGCATCTTCTATAAAAACTAGTATATGTTCATGCAGATGATCTCTTGGTCCTGTTATAATGTGATTACTCATATATCTTTAATGAACATAAGTATACATTGTGTACAAGTGCATTCAGATGATCCTATAATAATCTTACTTGATATCCTAACATAGGTTCATCTGCTGATTAAATTATTAGGCATATGAATGAAAAACCATTATTCTACAGTTGTATGTCCTGAAGTTTAAAGCCTGTTTCCATTTTCTAGACATATGCATAAATTTATTAGGAGGATTAAGCATATGCACTTACATACAGTAACACTGATAATTTCCACAGATTTATAGTCATGATGATAACGCTTTATAAGAAATTCGTGCTTTATTTATAGGCGGGGCTAAATATGCAAAGTGTACTCTTACTCGGTCCCTTTTACCGTTTACCAAAATGTAAGCGGCAGCCATTTTTTAAAGTTGTGTATTTCATGGGAGGAAAATAAATGTGTAAGATTCAGAAGGATATAATTTGGATTTGTTAGTCATACACCTTTTTAAAAGAAAGAAAACTTATTTGAGGATTGTAACAGACAAAAAATAAGTGTTGACAGAAGTGAAAACATTCAGAAAAGGAGCTAGGAAAATGGAAAACTTGGAAGCTTGCTAAGGCATTGTAAGGAACGCTGGGTTGTTTTACTTATTTTACAAGTGATGGCTGTCAATGCTTTTCAATTTTTCATAATGCATACGGCAGTTATTGCTCGTAGGATACTTTAATATGCCCAAATGTCATCAAGAGCAGTTTAGCATGGGGAAGGAATGTATTTTTCAGACTGTAAAAACGAAACAAAAAAATTTAGAGACGAAATTTTGTGATTGGAATTTGAAGGAATAGAAGTAAGTTTTCTCTCTTTATTACTTTTGACATTTAAGTTATTTATCTATTTCAGCTTTGCTATTTTTTTAACAGCCTGATACTGTCAGAATTGTCAGTAAAAATAAAATTTAGGTACCACATGGGGAAAATCTTAAAAAAGTAGTTTCGTCATTGAAAAAAGTGAAATTATATTTTGATAATTTTCACTGTGAAATTATCAAATATAATTTTCACGGATAAATCTGTAATCCACTGAAAAGTATAAAATAAATCTGGTTAACATGTACACTAACAGGGATCATTCTGGTCAGGATTTTTAGTGAGACATTTTCTCTCATTTGAGAAATTTTAATGAGAGAAATTAGATTTTCTTGAGAGATTTAATTTTCATGATGGGCGAGGTTAAAATATGGAAATTTCTTACTTTTTAAAATCATTATACATATAAACATTGTTTATCTAATGAGGATATAGATGTAGCTCTCTTTATTACAGTGATTTTTTTCCACTTTTTTGATTCACCCTATGCCTTTTCCTTTGTGATTTTTTAAACATAATAAAATTCTAATTATGAAAAATAAATATAACACTTTCATTCTGAAATATAAAAGAATTATACATGGATATCTACTACAACTATTATTTGCAGCCAATGTTCCTAATGGACAACACTGTACTGTACAGAAGTGATTGTTGAGATTTGAAGAATATTTTTTATAACCTTACATTTTGTTTTCTTTATGATTCTCTTCACACACCTCCCTCCATTAAAAAATGTTCATTGAATATGTGACCTGAACACATAATGACAAATATCTCCATATCCACAAATATAAACAATACCTAAAGTAATTTTTATTCATAAACATCATTTTTAGTGTTATAAAACACCTTTGAATAACACTCAGCTTCCTTTTAGTATTTTTTTTTAATCACGACATCGCGAAAATATGTGACAAATGAATATTTGTCTGTTTTCCGCTGAAACATTCACAATTCTAGCTGTTGCTGATTGCAATTATATAAAATTAAATACTTTTGTTCAATAAAAGAATATTTATTATCGGCTATTTCATCAGGAATCGTAAAACAAAATTTTTAAATTTGTTCTTTACGGCAAAATTTACCGTGGTTGATGTGACATTAAGAAGACAAATTTTACCGATATTTGGTTTTGACATGTCCATTTTTATGTTAGTCTGTGTCTAACAATTTTTATTAAAATCAATTAAAAGTGTTTTGTGTAAATTCTCGACTTACAGATAGATAAAGGTTACAATAGCCATCATACCGTATTTCTGTACGGTGAATTTGCGGTCTCCGATCGGCAATTATTTTAGGCTAAATAATTCAAAGTGTTGGACTACTTTTTGGAGTTTTTTTACACCGATTTCATTAATAAACAATTTGAAATTAAATTCTTGATGGGAATCGTAAATTTCTCATCATATTTTTGTGTGATTTTAGCATTCTATAGATTGTGGTTAGACATTTTCCGGCTCAAATTGCCGTGCGAGATTTTCTCTCATTTCACAAATTTCTCTGAGATTTTGGTGATTTTTTTGCGAGAAATCGCGGAAATCGCCCCCAGAATGATCCCTGCACTAAACATGTTACGCTTAAATCATAAATCTCAGACTTCCCGAAAGTTGAAAAAAAACTGTCAGACATTCGGTCTGACAAACCATGATATCTATCGGACCGAAACGAAATCTGTCGGACCAAATAAAATTGATCAAAATCAAAGAATAACTTGTGTTTGTATTTCTAAGACACTTTTTGTTTTTAATTTTTCACCGTAAAAATCGGCACATTCCTTACAGCGCATTTTCATCTCCTCCCTATCATACACCAACGATTCACTGTCTTGCTTCTATTTTTCATTAAATTTTGTCTCAGGCCTATTCTTTTTATCCTTTTACTGCTGTTGTGCCTGTTCCTCTGACGTAGATTTTTTATTTTTCCAAGGTTTGGCACCTTTAGCGAGGCCATTTTGTATACATGCTGCTTGGATAAAAGCCGGACAGTCGGACCGATCCGGAATAAAAACTCGTCGGACCTGATCAAAATTTATCGGACATGTCTGTCGGACCGACGTATTTCGGGAAGTCTGAAATCTTAAGAGCTTTCCGCACCATAGGTAACACCTAATTTCATAATTATTATCACACTAAACATGTTACGCTTAAATTATAAATCTTAAGAGCTTTCCGCGCCATAGGTAACACCTAATTTCATATTATCAATTATTATTATAATTTAATAATAAACTTTTCCATTTATTAAACATTTAAATACTTCAATAATAATTATAATGCATTAATAAAAAAATGGGGAGGAACTGTCTGCTTATTTGCAGACGGTTCTGCCCCAAATAGGGAGAGAACCGTCAGGGAGGAAACGTCACGGGAGGAACTGGTAAGGGAGAGAATAGTCTACCGAATAGACACTGCATATGCAAGGAGGTCTCATAATAGACAATGATGAATCTAAAGATCAAAAATTAGTTCACAACAAATGACATAGGATGGGTTGCACTTCTGACGTCTCATAAACTGACAAGAAACTTCATCGTAAAACATTCGCTTGCATGGCAAAGAACTGTCCTTCTGTGTTTTAAAGTATTTCCAACAAACCTTTGCTAAATTTTGAGAGAAAATATTCCAGTCCTGACCAAAACTTTGCAGGCATTCGCCATTCGGAGAATACATCCGGTATTTGTAAGCATAAATTTGATTGGCTATTTAAAATCGGACTAGGGAATCCGTAATGTTTCCTAAAATAGATTATATACCGGAGTGACAACACGGCCATTATCAAGGCCTTGAACGAAAAAAAGATCACACCTATAAGTCGAACACGATAACGTTTATTTAATCGGTCGAACCTTTATGATATAATGGCTTTAGCAATTTATTCAATTATTATATTTTGCTCTTTGATTGCCATATTGAAGAATAAAGTGGAAATGGACAAATTAGAACTTTTTTTTATAAATACGGTTAAAGTACGGTAGAGTACGGAATTTTTAGAGTTTGCTAAGACCAATGAAATCAACGCTTACAAACTGTAAAGGGAAGCAACTTTAATTTCCTGTTTCCACACACCCAAATGAACATTTTCTAAATTTACTTCTATTTTATGCTGTAATTCATACGTGAAGAAGATGATTTTGCTCGAAATACACAACAGAATTGTTGTTGAAACTTTAACAGCCAAGATAAAAAATGCATTAGAAGGGTAAAGTCATCTTTGACTTGTGACTAAGTCACGGCAAATTTCACTTCCGTGTTTAACATCTAATTTCAATATAAAATTGTCAAAGTTAGTTGCCAATTAATCATTTAGTAATTTTTTTTTGCATAAAAGTTTATTTACTTATTATCTCTTTTGAACCAACAATCGCCGAGTGAAACAGAAGTGTTATGCTTTAAGTTTATGAAATACCGAATCCGAATGAGTTGACTTAAGTAAAACTGAAAAATGAACATTTTTTTTAACAGACTTACCCATTCATAGGCTTTGCCTAATTTCAGATCAGACATCAAGAAAGTTACACAAATGCTGCTTTAAGTTTAATTGCCATTGACAACAAAAACCATCTCTGTTCTCAGTGACTGTTGATAGGCTATGTTCTCAGTGACTGTTGATAGGTTGGCCTTAAATGAGGCTAATCACTTGCTCATGGTTTACAAGTAGGAAATAAATCTGCATTGCTTATAAGAAGGGAACAAATCAAAATTAGGTGATAGGCATGTTCTTAAAATTCTATACAAACAAAGCATATTTATAGCAAATTGAAAATCTGTTTTCAACGAGAGCAAAAAACCTCGAGAATTAATGAGGAATGAGTGTTTTGTCCTAGTGACGTAATGCCCCTTTTTTCTTTTGTCCCTCACAATTTTAGCAAGTAAACGCAAACACTGCTATTACCCAAGTACTACAGCTCATTACTGAACCTGTGCTTCTAGAGGCAAAGATATTTCTTGTGCTTAACCCTTTACCTCATGAGCATATTGTGAAAGATGGCCATTTTCATTGAAAAGCCTCCTGTTACAAGTTCAAACTGCTAAGAAACTATGAAAAATGCTTCAATACTGATGAAACTTGGCACAAATGTTGACTGGCCATAGCCTCTGAAACAGCATGCTCAATTTTAAATTTCCTGTTACCATGGCATGGGGGGGACGTCTCAAAATTGCCAAACCTCACTATTTTGCATTGTTTTTTTTCCATCAAAACTGATTTTTAAGTGCTGCAACTTCTCAATGAATTTAGATAGAGTAAAAGGCTTTTCAGCGTTGGTTACACATCCCCCTTCTGACAACTCCCTGATGTACCTTTTTGAGGGGGCGGCCGAAAAAGTGATCACTTTTTTAACAACATTTCTCAAACAAAAAAAGGTGTTTCAGGCCTGATTAGGGTAGTTTTACACTGTTTGAGGCCTCAAAAAAAGGGGGGTTAGGGTCAAAAAGCCATTAAAACACGTTTATATGAGGTAAAGGCTTAAATTAACTGAATATACTCAAGAGGATAAAAATCTGTATTAAGTGGCAACTGTTATCATTGCAATAAACTAACAACTATTGGTTATCTTTGTTTACCTATGAATTTTTAGCCTTTTGGTCAGATTTATGATGTCAGCTAATCTTCTTTAATAATTTTATTGTATCAGTAACTTCTTTTTCAAGAAAGACATCAGAAAAATGAAAAGTAAGACTCTTAAAGTATGAAAAAAATGACTAGTCTGATGTATAAATATACAGTATAAATTAGGTAATGGAATGGTTTAATTTTTTTCAGGAATAAGCCAGATACAGTAGATGTGACTGTAGCAGATTTTGATGGTGTGCTGTTTCATTTGTCAAATCCCAATGACAAAAATAAAATATTGGTAATTTTTTCTGAATGAAATTTATAAATCTCATTCTTTTATATATACCCTGCCACCCCTTTATAAGAATAACCTCACTAAAACATTCATGAGTCTAAACTCAATGGAATAAAAACTAATTTTCACAGATCATTATAAAATACACAAGTATGTACATTTTGTAAAATAAGAAAATCCATTATAATGCTTGTTTAATGTGCCAGAAAAGTACAATAAAAACGAAATAGGATGCTTGACATTGGCAACGATGTGAAAAGCATGCAACCTTGGACCTCAACTCGAGCCTTATAATGGCTGTGTGCCAGTGTAATGATATTAATGCTGGTGATTTTCATTTCAATAAAACTTGCAATAAAAATTTTAATTACATTGCCAATTTTAAAAGTTTTACTTGTCATGATAACATCTTTTCTCATTCCTTAAAATTAACTGTACTTCTTCTGTGCTTTGTCTATACAAGGTTAATTCATCATTTCTTTACAATGATAAATGATGTAAGGTCTTTTAAATTTATTTAGCTTAAAATTTGATTAAGTCTCTGCATAGTGTCTGTTGTAAAAATAAAAGATGGTACAAAAAAAATAATACTTTTTTTGTTTCCAGGTAAGCATTTCAATGCACTTCTACAAGGATCTCCAGGAACATGGTGCAGATGAGGTACATTTTTTTCTGCCGATTTTGTTTTGTTGATTTTCCCTAATGATTATTGTGTAAATGTGATAACATTTACAACACTGAGGCGTTTCTTTATAAAGTTAACTGAGGTAATGGGAGCTTGGAGGAATAATTGTTATTATTATTATTAGTTTTTTCTCAAAATGTGAAGTAAAAATGTTCAGCTTATTGACTTTCTTGAAACTTATTGAAGTTGCCTTCTTTAAATCTGAAATCAAATGGGAAGTGATGTATTTTGTGCTGAAAAATAAATGTTACGAATAAAAAAAAAGGTTTCTTTTCTCTATAAAAGTTATATAACCATTAATTAATTTGCAAAAAGATAGATAATATTATTAATCTTATCAATATATATAAATGATGTATTTTAGTCATTGTGTGAAAGAATCTGAAAGTATTTTTGATGTTGTTGATGACTGTTTATAATCACTAGTTGCTATTTATAAATGGGATATTCTTAGGCTTGATATAGTAAAAATAACTTGAGAATGTCTATTTTCTTTTTGTAGCTCATCAAAAAGATCTATTCAGATATGCTAACAAACACAGAGGATGGTACGTCATTCTACCATAATTTGAAGTATTTCTTTACACTAAACTAAAAAGCAATCAAACAAAAATAAATAGGTTTTAAGTTAGTCACTTAGTTTAAATATATTTATTTTTGTTTGATTGTAAAATAAGTTCTTGCAACTGACATGAATCACTTTCAAGTCCGGTTCCTGGAACTAACCAGTACTGATGCCATATTATATGAGGAAACAAGATCATGATCCGAATAGGGCTCAAACCCATGATCCCTGGGTTGAGAGGCAGACACCTTAACCACCAGGCCAATTACTTTAACTCCATTTAGCTCTAAACCTGCTTTGAACCAAAAGCAGATAAGCAGGTTTTAGGTAATAAATGTAGATTATGTGTTCTACAATATTATGTTACTTCCATTTGTTCACTTACTAAGCTTATATTTTTTTAAATTTAATTTACGGCTATGCATTAATAAGCACTTTCTAAATTTTCATAACATTAGCATAAATCTGTTGTTTTTGGACCAGTTGAGTAATTGAAGAAGTTCTGTTAAATTATATTGATAAATAACTTAGTTGAAACTGTATTAATACTATTATGTATATCTATATTTCTCTATATTTCTTATCCATTTTGCTTTGAAGTTTTACTGTTTAAATCCTGTATTGATGTATGTATATTCATTATACTGTAGGCTACAATGTATCACTTCTATTTGACCTTGAAAACATTCCATCTGATTGGGAGGAACGTGTGGAGAAAGCAGGGCTTCTAAAGAGAAATTGCTTCGCATCAGTGTTTGAGAAATACTTTGCCTTCCAGCAGGCTGGGGAGGCTGGCAGGGAAAAAGCTGTGATCCATTATAGAGAGGAAGAAACTATGTGAGTTGGAAACTTGATGGTTTAGTCACAGGAAACTGATGTTTAAAACGAAAAAAAAAAGGTTTCAAGGGGGAAAAAAATATATCACCCCTTCTATATACATGTTTTAAAAACACTTTTCCTGTGGTTTAGTTTAAACATATAACAGCTAGATAATGAGTAAAGTTTGAAGTTTTTTTTAACTGTTTTCAAGTCAGATTCCTGGGACTTACCACAGGAAACTGAAGTTAAAATGAAAAAAAAACATTTTAAGAAAGAAAATCACCCTTTTTACATAATTATGTTTTTTTTTTCCATATATATAGCATTGGTGATTTTTTTTATGTTTGAAACTTCAGTTTATTGTAGACTTAGCAGTATTGGTGTCATATGAGGATATATGATCTGGATCTCAGTAGGGCTAGAACCTTTATCCCTGGTTTCAAAAGCAGACACCTTAAGGCTTAACCATTAGACTACCGCTGCCAGTAACATGCTCCTGAAGATTATAGATACTGCTTTTATGATTATATAGTCATGAATGGGAACTAATAAATGTAATGATACGGAAAATAGGTGTGAGGGGGAAGATATGACTTTCTAGAAAAGATACTTTCAATGTAAAAACCTTAATAGAACAGCTATTTAAAACATTTGCCAGGATGGCCATCACAGCTGTGTCTGAATCTTTGGCAGCTTTGGAGATATTACAGAAAATTTAGACAATAAAAGTTAGTGCTTCATTATTCAAAAACTTTGCACATATTTATAATTTCTTTGGCAACATAGATTTGTCTAGATAAAGAAGACTGTAAACATAAATGATTTACTTCAGAGTAATACAGTCACTGTCTGCAATTTAAAATTTCTCTCAACATCTTACCCCATCCACCCTCCATTTCTTTACACAAAATTTTCTAACAAATTTATTTTCCTGCATAGTCATAGAACAGTGCATAGAAAGTATGTTTATACTTTGGGGGAAAAGGAAGTTTCCTACAGATATTTTTGAATTCTTATACAAACTATATATTTATGAGGTTCTACTACAGTCAAATCCAACATAATGTCCTCTCAGATCATGAGATGTATGTGTTATACAGGTTCAACTGTTTTGGTTTTTCTGTTACAGGTATATAGCAGCTCAGAAAGACAGAGTTACTGTTATATTTAGTACAATCTTTAAGGATGATGATGATGTAATCATAGGAAAAGTTTTCATGCAAGTAAGTACACTGTAACACATTAAAATATCTATTAAGTCGTAAGTAATATGCTTTTGTACTGAACATCGGCATAGATGATTAGAATAATGATATGAGCCGCGTCATGACAAAACCAACATAATGGGTTTGCCACCAGCATGGATCCAGACCAGCCTGCGCATCCGCGCAGTCTGATCAGGATCCATGCTGTTCGCTTACAAACCCTATTACAAGTAGAGAAACTGATAGCGAACAGCATGGATCCTGATCAGACTGATCGGATCCGCAGGCTGGTCTGGATTCATGCTGATCGCAAACCCATTATGTTGGTTTTGTCGTGACCCGGCTCATTTCATTAATTCATTTATGTGGTAAGAGTTCAGATTTTTATGTCTCTGGAAATCCTGATTCAGACATTTTGTAAAATATCATACCAGTGTTTACTGGTGATATACCCATTTTCATTAGACCTGATTAAAAGATATATAGTGGAATGGAAGTCGTCGTCTACATAAATTCTGTATGGTTTAGAAAATTAATAATATATATTTTTCCTTTTTTGATAAATTGGCAATGGAATATGTTTGATGTATTACCTAGGAATTTAAAGAAGGCAGAAGAAATTATCAACAAGCCCCGCAGGTTTTGTTTAGTCACAAAGACCCACCCACTGAACTTCAGGGCATGGATGCTCGAACAGGAGATAATATTGGATATATCACTTTTGGTGAGATAATCTGTATACATGTTTATGTGTATATACTTATTAATTTATTATTAATAAAGTCAGAGTTTTGTTAAAGATCTATCTTTATTAAAAGATTTGATTTAAAGAGCTGTCACTTTCATTTAACATTTCATTTTCTTATATGAACAGTTTAGTACAAATTAAACTATATTGAACGACTAACAGATGTAATGGTTGTTCATTAATATTATGTAACCTACACCTGTACTGTTATTCCTCTACATGTTGGCATTCTTTTAAGTGTAATTATTTGCCTGTGTTGTTATATATTTATTTCAGTATTCTATACTTATTTACCTGTATTATTATTTGTTTCAGTGTTCTGTATCTGTACTTACCTGTATTGTAATTTCTGTGTATTTTAGTATTCTTTTATCTGCATTTCATACGTTTGTTGCTTGACTTATTTCTGTATATCAATATTCTACATCTGTACTTATTTATCTGTATTGTTATTTACCTGTATGTACCAGTATTGTTATTTACCTGTCTTGTTATTTGCATGTATTATTTACCAGTATTGTTATTTACCAGTATTAATTACCAGTACATATTTACCTATATTGTTATTTACATGTATTGTAACTTACATGTATTGTTATTTACATGTATTGTTATTTACCTGTATTGTTATTTACCTGTATTGTTATTTACCTGTATTTTTATTTACCTGTATGTTTATTTACCTGTGTTGTTATTTACCAGTATTGTTATTTACCAGTATTAATTACCAGTACATATTTACCTATATTGTTATTTACATGTATTGTTACTTACATGTATTGTTATTTACCTGTATTGTTATTTACCTGTATTTTTATTTACCTGTATTGTTATTTACCTGTATTGTTATTTACCTGTATTGTTATTTACCTGTTATTTACCTGTATTGTTACTTACATGTATTGTTATTTACCTGTATTGTTATTTACCTGTATTGTTATTTTCCTGTATTGTTATTTTCCTGTATTGTTATTTACATGTATTGTTTTTTACCTGTATTGTTATTTACCTGTTTTGTTATTTACCTGTATTGTTATTTCAGTGTTATTTCCGCGTCACACTGCTGCTGCTGTAAAAGATAATACAATCAACCTGATTCACACGCTCAGAGATTATCTTCATTATCATATCAAATGTTCTAAGGTAAAATTTTCAGTTTTTGTTTTATTAGGTCAATTATCAGTTTAATAGGACATTTGGTATAAATCTGGACAGTTTAATATAGATTATGTGTTCTTGAACTTTGTACTAGTGAGTACTGATCTGGGTTTTTTCTTCTGCAAGTAACAGTCAACTTTGTATGTGAATCATTTAAAAGCACAGAGGAGAACAAGTGAGGTTTTAAATAGAATGCAGGACACAATCTTCTTAAATCCATATGTGCAATCATGCTCTTCCCATTTAGTAAATCAGACAATCAAAGAAGAGTATAAGGTCCACCAGATGATCAGGAATTAAGTCCTTGTGGCTGGATATATTTTTCCTCTATACCTTGCCTGAAAGAGATATCATTATGTATACTGCATTTCTCCTGGGCTTTTTATGCAGTTGATCCATGTCTGAAGATTAATACTGTTAACTAGGTTAACTGGTTAATTAAGATTTAAGAAGGCACAGTATTACTTGTTCTTTTAGATATACACCACTAAATTTGAATAATGAACTTGTCTGGCTTAGGTTTTTGAAGTGTCTATGATATAACATGTATATCAACTGAAGGAGCTTACTGTGATGGTAAATGAATCTTGTTAACATGTAAGAAATGATGTGATGATGTAAAGGTTGATAAAATAAAATTAATTAGCCAAGTTAGTCAGGCTTCATAGTTTTGCATGCTTCCTTGCTGAATGAACTGGTGACGTTGACATCATTTGTGCAAATATTACAGAGGTGAAGGTCATTGCTTTTTAGCTCACCTGAGCATGCTCAGGGTGAGCTTTTAGGATCGATGATTGTCCGTCGTCCGTCGTCCGTCCGTCCGTCGTCCGTTCACATTTAGTTGTTAACACTCTAGCGGTCACATTTTTGCATCAATCATCATCAAACTTGGTCAGGATGCTTATCTAGTTGATAGCTCGGATGAGTTCGAACATGGGTCATCTCGGATGAGAAACTAGGTCACAAGAGCTAAAAATAGAAAAACCTTGTTAACACTCTAGAGGTCACATTTTTGCCTCAATCATCATCAAACTTGGTCAGGATGTTTGTCTAGGTGATAGCTCGGATGAGTTCGAACATGGGTCATCTCGGATGAAAAAGTAGGTCACCGGAGCTAAAAATAGAAAAACCTTGTTAACACTCTAGCGGTCACATTTTTGCATCAATCATCATCAAACTTGGTCAGGATGCTTATCTAGTTGATAGCTCGGATGAGTTCGAACATGGGTCATCTCGGATGAAAAAGTAGGTCACCGGAGCTAAAAATAGAAAAACCTTGTTAACACTCTAGCGGTCACATTTTTGCATCAATCATCATCAAACTTGGTCAAGATGCTTGTCTAGGTGAAAGCTCGAATGAGTTCGAACATGGGTCATCTCGGCTGAAAAAGTAGGTCACCGGAGCTAAAAATAGAAAAACCTTGTTAACACTCTAGCGGTCACATTTTTTGCATCAATCATCATCAAACTTGGTCAGGATGCTTATCTAGTTGATAGCTCGGATGAGTGTGAACATGGGTCATCTCGGATGAAAAAGTAGGTCACCGGAGCTAAAAATAGAAAAACCTTGTTAACACTCTAGTGGTCACATTTTTGCATCAATCATCATCAAACTTGATCAAGATGCTTGTCTAGGTGATAGCTTGGATGAGTTCGAACATGGGTCATCTCGGATGAAAAACTAGGTCACAGGAGCTAAAAATAGAAAAACCTTGTTAACACTCTAGTGGTCACAATTTTTGACTCAATTGTCATCAAACTTGGTCAGGAAACTTGTCTAGGTCATTGCTGGGAAGAAATTGAACATGGGTCATCTCGGATGAAAAAGTAGGTCACGGGAGCTAAAAATAGAAAAATCTTGTTAACACTCTAGTGGCTACTGTTGTGATCCAAATATTCTGTTAATTGGTCTGAAAGTTTGTTTTGATGATTTCTAAGTCAAGTTGGAACATTGGTCATCTTGGATGAAAAAAACTAGGTCACACACCGCCCAAATATGGAAAAACCTTGTTAACATTCTAGTGGTCACATTTTCGACTCAATTATCATCAAACTTGGTCAGGATGCTTGTATAGGTAATTGCTTGGATGAGTTCGAAATCGCATGTGGAACTAGGTCACCGGAGCTAAAAATAGAAAAAATCTTGTTAACACTCTAGTTGCTACTGTTTTGATCCAAGTATCCTTGAAATTGGTCTAAAAGTTTGTTTTGATGATTTCTAGGTCAAGTTTGAATATGTGTCACCTGGGTAAAAAACTAGGTCGCACTGCTCAAATATGGATAATCCTTGTTAACACTGTAGTGGTAACATTTTTGACTCACCTGTCATGAGACTTGGTCAGAATGCTTGTCTAGGTAATTGTTTGGATGAGTTTGATAAATCAGGTGAGCGATCTAGGGCCATCATGGCCCTCTTGTTAACAGTAAGACAATGAATTCTCAAGGTGTCATAATGTAATGCAAGATAAAATTTTGAATATTTTCCAGGCATATATTCATACCAGAATGAGGGCAAAGACATCCGAGTTTCTGCGCGTATTGAACAGAGCCCGACCAGAACAAGAAAAAGAGAAGAAAACAATCAGGTTTGTACTTATGCAAATAATTTCACACCAATATGTCTAAATATGTCTCAAGGTTGGCCGAATACTGGATGAGATGCCTTGTCATAATTAAGGATATTTGTGAGTTTTGCATGTTAGGTAGAAGTATACATGTATTATATGTTTCACAGAGTGAACACCAGCAATATTTTCATAGTGGTGTAGCCACAAATGAAAATAGAACAGCTGGTGCTTAATTGTGAAAAAAGAATTGATCTGATCTGCTAAACAAACAAATTTTCTATTTATTTCATTGTTTATAGTAGGTTTATGACAATAAGACTGATTTTTGCAGCGTAACATCTTGTGTTCTCCTTTAAAATGTCATAAATCATGGCAGGACAATGTTCTCATTGAAAAATAACTGAATTTATTGTGAAATAATCAAAAAATAGTGTCATTATTTATGGAAAAGCATGCAATAAGTTATAGTATTGTACAATGCATGTATTTGTTGTATATATCATATTGAATTGTTGTGTTTTTACAGTGGAAAGACTTTCAGAATGTCCTAGGATCAGCGTGATGTAACTTGCAGCGAAAATTGGCATCTGGAATTGGACAAGGGGAAAAATGAATTGTAGAGAAAGGAAAACCAGTTACTACTTGCACTTAATCTTGCTTGCAAAACAGTTTTTTTATTTATTGTTGGATTTAAAGGAATATTTTGTGCAAATATAGTGCTACATAACTGTAAAGTACATCAAGTGAAATGAACAAAATATGATATGTAAAATTATAAAAAAAATAAAAACCAAACAGACTTAAACCTACACAGGAAATTTTCACTATATGTATTATGTCTATCTTGAGGGTTATGGATTTAGATTTTTATATTTAAATAAAACCAAATGTAATAATTGGTTATTAAAACATCCAGAAAAAACATATATATTCCTCATTTAGCTATGATAAAAAGTAGATACATATATATAACTCTATTGATTAATATTTTAAGAAAAGAAATAAATTGACGACAGTAAAATTGAAAGCTTAAAGCCTTCGATAGTGCTAATATACAAAAAATGCTTTGAAATTCTAGTTGGTTTTTTTTTGCTATACAAAAAGCACAAATGTTTTATTGCAAGGCATTTGTGTGACTTTAATATCAGTGGCAAATTGTTAACTTAACCCATGTTGAATTGTACATTTTCTATCATAATCGTGTATCTATTAAAATATTAATTGAAATTTATCTGTGTATATATCTGATATTCTCTTGCCATACAAGCATGTCAAATAGAATTACGAAATTCTTCATCAGGTCCCAGCTATGGCATATATGATTATTTTTAGATATCCTGAAAAGTATGTTGAACAGTCCTTAACTTTCTTAACATCAAAATGATTTTAAAGAAATAGAAATAACTTTAAAGAAATAGATTGCTACAAATTATTGGAGTATGAAGTGTTTTGTTGAGAGAGCAAAACAAATGGTTAACAGTCTCCCACAGAATGTAATCAAAGGTGGAGGATCAGTCTCGCAACTTGTGGTTTAATCAGGAGAGTATTACCATGTATTTTTTACTTACTAATGAATTATAGAAATATCAGTGATTTAAAACTCATAATTCACTGTTTCAAAACAGTATAATAACCATTTTGTTATTTTTCAATGTTTGACAGAAATAACTTTTTCAATTGAATTACCTCCCATTAATTTATTACCTCCCTTTGATATTCATTTAAAAAAAAAAGTATTATAAATGAATTATAATAATACAATACTAGACCACCGAGATATTGAAATTGAATCCCTGGCACAGTTTGTAGTTGCATATATTGAGGTATGTGTGTACCTGTTAATTATGTAACGTAATATTCAGTGTTAAATATTGAGCGCTCAATTTTCTTCCAAGAATGACTATGTTATTAATGGGAGATTTTAAAGGAGCCATAATGATAATTTAAGTGTGACGATTGTTCAGTCTATGGGGTTCTGGCTTTAAATCACAAGAAATGTACTTCAGATGTTTCTACATTAAAAATTTTACCATTTCATATTGAATGAGCCGCTTTTAGGGAGCGTTGACAGTAGCTTGCAGTTACCAGTACGGTCAATGGACAGGCTCAATGAATCCAAGCCTGCAACATTTTCAATATTGCCATTTTGGACATTCTTTAGAGATTCTGTTTTTCTCTATTTTTACAAGTTAGGAAAATGTTGAGTGTTCAATCAAATGCATGCTACTGCGGAAGCAAGACAAGCTCTATCCAAAGATGTGCTGCAGCAAATTTTTCTTCATCAAACAAGTATGCAACCCATTTGACACAATTGTACGTCAGAGCTCGGTGCTCAAGGTCAGCTTCCGGTTAACATCCTAAAATAACACTATCCCATAATCAACACACTTGGAAAACATCTCTACAAATAAGAAACAACTGGACAACACAGATCTAATTTTATTAGAAATTCATTAATCTACACAAAGAGAATGTACATAGACAATTGTAAGCTCACAAAGTGATTAAAGTTTGGAGACTTTTGAGCAAATAGATCCCCAAGAAACTTTACACATGTACAAAATAATGTATTAAAAACTACGGACAACAATTTTAGTACTCTTTGATATTCTAATTTTTCACGGATTATACATTAATATTCAGGCTGCACTTTTCATAACAATAAGATGTGAACTGGTAGGTGCAGTCCTTGCATACTAAGTGGTCTAACATTTTCTGCTTTATTTTGCTCTCCTGTCCCTCGGCAAACTTTTTTTCTTTTTTTTTTAAAAGTGGATTACAACAAATTTTTGTTGCCACCTTTTGGCGGAGGCCTGTAAACTCCAAACTTCAATCCTTGTGGCTAAATCTACAATTAACCGAGGCGGGGAGAGGATAAAAACAAATACCGTAAAACTCCTAATAAACGTCCATCCCTTAATAAAAGCCCCCTTAGGCTATTTGATATGGAAAAAAATCTGCTTATCAGTGGTGAACTCTTTAATTAATCCGTAATTTTATTCAAATCTCTCAGAATTCATTTTATTTCATAGTAAACACAAATATGTATTACATGAACTTTAAAATCATAACACATTTTAATGTTATTACCAACACTTGTTAACACTAATCAATGTATTTTCAATGATTTTTGGATTTAGGAAAAAAGTGTTGTAATAATAGCCCCCCTTTTGAAAAATGTTTAGCCCCTGGGGGTGTTTAATAGGAATTTTACGGTATAGGGTAAGCATTCATAAAAGGCACTGAATATTGAAAGGTCCGTAGTTCGCAATAATAATATATGCAGTGGCAACACTGGCTCAAATATTTATAGTGCCATTCACAGTTGGCCATAAACTTTCCTGTCTTGTATAGCCTCATTTTAAAGGCCACATGAAAAATAATCCGAGCCAAAGTTGTAGCAAAATGGCAAAGTGCACACTTATATAGGCTGTTTACAAATCTTCAAAATAAAAATATTGCTAGGATATTCAATTGAGAAAAGTCAAAAGTCATAAAAATTCTCGTACTGTTTTATTAAACATTTGAAGCATGATTAAGAATGTTAAAAATGATGACAAACTTTCGATATACATTTTTTTTCATACATGTTTAAAACTCAATATTATTTCTTAAAACATATGGATACATTTTTCTACAAGATATTTTTTTTTTAACAGCTATATAATATTAGTTATGTATTACAAAAAGTCAGGCATATGCTAGAAGTTTGAATCTTTCTCACTACTTCAGCTGAAATGTTGATATACCTTGTTCAATATTTTGATATTCTTTTCTTAATCATTTCAAACTGTGAGGGTTGTTTTGGTTAGTTTCTGTTTTTCAATAATTATTTATAAGGATTTTGCATAACACAGTACTAAAATAATATATCTTACAGGAGAAATGTTGATGATAAAATAGAAATTTATGTGTATGTTATCTCGTTTAAACTTTGAAAAATTACACATAAAATTTATCCTTTTATTAAGAATGGACACAATATTATTGTTTACACACCAAATACACAAAGAGAAAAAAAAACGTATAAACTATACAATATGAAAAATACAATGTGTAAAAAACAGACATACATTTATTGGATACACTTAAAGCAGTCAAACGCTCGTCTAGAAAGCTTACAAGTCTCACATATACACACACATTCAAATACAATTCTTATAATATCTTTGTAAAAAAACAAGATTTCAATTCAAAAAAAATTTCTTCAAATAAAATTAAGGAATGGTCAATTTTCAATATAAAAGTATTATCTTATTTTTTCGATACAAAAGCAGTAATGCCTACTTTGCTAATGAAAGTCTTTATCAGATTTTTTTTTCAAGATTTACCCAACGCTAAAATTTGTTTTACTGATTTAATTAAAAATGTTATAAAATGGAAGTTTTCCTCGAACAACTCTTAGATCACTTTCTCTCATTTTTTTTTCTCAAAGCACATTTGAGTATTTCCCGTATTATAGGATTTCTGTTTTGTATTTTATCAATCATGGGATTTGTACCACATACATACCGATCAGACATCTATACAAATATTGTATAGTTATATTACATAGTTACATATCATTCACATTTTAAAAAAAATCTATGTATAAATGTAATGTAAAATACAAAAAAGAACAGTTATTCCACTTGAAAATATATAATAACTTGGAATTAGCTAAGCAAAAATGTATAACATAACTATACATGTGGATGATTCATATAATTATTATGATGTAATGATATAGAGAAGTGATGATAAAAAAAAAGGCTAAATGAAATCAGACAGAATATAATAATGATCAAAAAATCATCTTTTCAAAACACGCAAACAAATTCGTACCATGATGCTATACATGAGCCTAGTGTATATAATTATATATAGAGAGATTGGATACATGTATAAATATTTAAGACCTGATATAGTGGTGTGGCCAAAAATACACAGAGCTTTTAAAAGTATATGTGCGACAAATTTTCATTTTCACTTGTGCATTTATAACAAACGCATATGCTGAAAAAAAATGCATTTTTGTAATGATAATAAATTTTGTTCTTGAAATGCATTTTATTTGAAAACATTTTCCGTTATCTCAAGTATAGTTGTGTATTTGAGAAAGCTGTGAGGGAAGCCCTGTATATCAAATGGCGTGTTTTAGCTGCTGCTGCGATTAATAATGAATGAATATTATCTGGCTTACATCGACTTGATGCAGATACAAAAATCAAAATTAAACTGACAGGAATAACATTAGTTAACATGATTATCTCCATAAATAGAACATCCATTTTGAACATTTTTTGAACAATTAAAAAATTATAACTAACTTGAACACAAATGACAACAAATAAATGGTGGGGGTGTTCTCAAGAACTTTAACTGTTTAAACAAGTCAGGTGGGGATCAGTTTTTATTTATTTTTTTAATGTGATATTTTTGCATTGATAAAGCTTTTACAACAGTATGCAAACTGGAAAACAAATTTGCAAGCCTGAAATATTATATATTTATGTTAAAAAGAGGAAAATGTACACACATATTTTAAACAATGGGTAATACACATAGCTAGATCATTGACATTTTATTCTAGATTTATTTTCAAGGGTTAATCTTCATAAAAATTTCTTTGCTTTATAAGAAATATTCACTCTGTATTCCTTACACTAACACTAGGAAACTTACAAAACAAGAGGAAAAATCTCTTACAGCAAAGAAGATTTATAAATTTTGAAGATATTTTATTCTACAATAGCACTAGGAGTGTTGGAATGATTTGATTATTATAATTCAATAAATCAATTTATAAAGTAGTAAAAAAAAACAACTATAAAATTCTAAATTTAAACTGTACATGATTGAAATGTATTGTATATTCCAGAGAGATGGTCTTTTTATTCATACGATCTGTTTACATGTATACAGTATAAAATTTGCTTATTGTGTTGTTGTTCTTCTTTTTTTCAGACTATGTTTAAAGCAACATTTACTCATAAAAGCCCATTATGATTCATACTAAGAGATTTTTACGTTATTTTATTTTCCTGTTAAAACTTTTTCCAATTGCTTCTTCTTTAATTTCCATTCAGATACAAAGAGCCTTCCTAAAGCCAAATCTCATTTACTTTTACAAAACAAAAAAATTATCAAATATGGCATTATAATTTTTAATTCACTTCAGAAGCTAGTCAGAAAAATACAAAAAAAAAACTTTTTGGTGATTAAAATAATGGTGGCTTATACTTAAAAGACTTCAATCTAGGACAATACAATACACATTATATTTACAATATTATCAATTATAAGATTACTAAACTTCCTATCATTTCAACAAATACACATTTTAACATATTTTCCTGCCTGATTTCTGTTGATGTTTTCATTCTAAAAATCATTTCAACACACAAGTCTTGCACATAATATAATAATATTTAAGCACACTTTATTCCCAATTCTTTTAGATCGAAAATTTCTGAACAAATGTGAAATAATAATCAGGATGTTAAACACATGTTAATTTTTTTTTTTTTGTATTAATGAATGAGTTCTAGCTAATGACGAGGTAAATAATTTTTATATCATTATGCGGGTTTCCATGGCAACATAATTTCGTTCAAAACTTTTCCAGTCATAAACTTATGTCTCGTCTTTGCTTTATAACACTCTTTTTCTTTTTTTGTCTGTTTTCAAACACAATTGTATACATGCCCTCATCGTTGGATTTTCCGACGTCATCTCTAATTTGATTGGCTGATGTTAAAACTTACGGATGGTGATATTAATAGAAAACTAAAGTCAATGTCGTTACAAGCGTGCAAGATGTGTTGATACAAAAGCCATAAGAAGACCGGTCAGCAGTGACAATGGTGTCGCAATACCCGCAGCAGAAACTGTCACTGAAAAAAAATATAATAAAGAGTTAAATTGGTTAAATCAAAATATGATAAAGCAAATCTTGACAATGACACACTGACAGACGATGGATACTGGACAAAGCCTGATCACAAAAGCTCACTTTAAACTTGGTGCTCAATTGAGCTTAAAACAATTGTTTCCAACCTTATTTTTATATAAAGAATTAAATAAAGCTACAGTTTGACAGACTTATGTTGACAGACTTGTGTTAATTCCTTGCAGGCTGTAGAAGTTTAATGTAGTACTGTTTGCTACACAATATCATAACATAACCGCAAAGTATATCTTAGTTCTGCAGTAAGCCATTGTATCTGTAGCATTTGTCTAATGACAGGACATATTGTATGAACCTTTCCCTGTGGTCCTGAAGAAGCTTAATTTAAAGGATGTATGTGTTCCTTTGATTACCCTTGTCTTACATTCAATTAAGTTTTACCCTTGTTTTCTTTTTATTAGTTTACATCGCACCAACACGGTATAGGTCATATGGCAACTTGCCAACTTTACTGGTGGAGGAAGACCTCAGGTGCTCCTCTGTGCATTATTTAAGGAACCTGAGCAGAACCAACTACGTTCCGTAAGCCAGCTGGATAGTTGCAGAATATGTATTTGTATATTGTATTCCAACAACAAACTTCTGAAAGCCAGATAGAAAGCTTTCTCACATGAAAGAATCCAAAGTCTCTGACAGGATTTAATTACACAGGGGCGAGGGGCAAGTGATTTTTTAAGTCAGCAATTGTAACCACTTTGCCACAGAGGCTATGTACAGGTACTTGTATAATATAATAAACCACTATCTTACCATCATATAATGTGATTGGTTGCCTGTGAGCATTTTGCCCCTCGCCATATACCAAGAAGAAAGTCTCTTTAAACAGCTTCTCTTTTACTGTGTACAACATTAATTGAATATGGAGTCCCTTGTCGTCAAGCTGAAATTATAAATGTCAGTTTATAAATGGATTGCAAGAAATCTTTGTTCTAAATTTCAGGGCTTTTTGAGGACTCATAAATATAATGTATACATTCATTGTAAAAAGCTAACATCCCCATGTATATCTGGTCAGTGGATAACATGAATCAATTAAGAGTTAGAATATACATATTCTGTACATATATCATTCACTACAATATTATTGCTACAGAAGTATAAGTGAATTTGTCCTATTCTATCATAAAACATTATTCAGACTGAGAATAGTATTATGTTGTGTTTTCGTTTTGTTTTTTTTTCTTATAAATTAAATCTGATGTCCCAATCACAGGAATAAAGGACTTTTCAAGACAAAAATTAATTCAAGTCTTTAAAGGGACTCCACTGAAGTTTTTTGACATGATGGGACTGAAAATGTTTTTTCCAGATACATGTTATTATTTGATGTAGATTTGGACCACTAATCTTTGTGCAAAATGTCAGATCAAATGCGCATTTCGTTTTTTCCAGAATAATTATTCAAATTGTGAAAAAAACTAGAAATGTGTCATCATGCCACGGATGCCCCCGCATGCAGCCAAAATTTCAGATGGTGCATTTATTATTTTTTTCATTTTAAGTTCAAGGCCCTTAAAACTTTTCAATGTTAACACAAACCATTTTCATACAATGTTCAAGGAACTGAAATTATTCAGTCTTAACCTTTTAAAAATAGCATATTGCATACATGTATTTGTAGCCAAAATAATGGCTAAAAGTATGAGTGCTGAAACTGAAAGTTCAAAATTTTTCCAACATTCAGGAATTTGAAAGATAAGTTTGTCTAAAATCATTGAACCACGACCAAATTCAAACTTAAACTGCTTATTCCTAAGATGTATCTATATTATTTTCAAAGTGAAAGGTACATAACTCTGCCAAAAAATCATCAAACCATGACCAAATTCCAACCTGACCTGCCCATTCCTTTGACATATCCATATGTCAAATTTAAGTTGAATATGTAACACTGTTGGGTAGATAATGAACAGAAACTGTAAATTTCATATTATTTTCAAAGTGAAAGGGGAATTACTCTGCCAAAAATCATTGAACCATGACCAAATTCCAACTTGGCCTGCTCATTCCAAAAACATATCCATATGTCAAATTTGAGTTGAATGTGTTGTACCATTGGGGAGATAATAAACGGAAACTGAAAATTTCATATTACTTTCAAAGTGAAAGGGGCATAACTCTGCCAAAAATCATTGAACCATGACCAAGTTTGAACTTGACCTGTGCATTCCTTTGACGCATCCATATGTCAAGTTTGAGTTGAATGTGTTGTACCGTTGGGGAGATAATGAGCGGAAACTGAAAATTTCATATTATTTACAAAGTAACAGGGGCATAACTCTGCCAAAAATCATTGAACCATGACCAAATTCGAACTTGACCTGTATTTTCTCATGTCATAACCATTTGTCAAGTTTGAGTTGAATGAGTTGTACCGTTGGGGAGATAATGAGCGGAAACTGAAAATTTTATATTATTTTCAAAGTAACAGGGGCATAACTTTGCCAAAAATCATCGAACCATGACCAAATTCGAACTTGACCTGTATTTTCTCATGACATATCCATATGTCAAGTTTGAGTTGAATGTGTTGTACCGTTGGGGAGATAATGAACAGAAACTGAAATTTCACATTATTTTCAAAGTAAAAGGGGCATAACTCTGCCAAAAATCATTGAACCATGACGAAATTCGAACTTGACCTGTATTTTCTCATGACATATCCATATGTCAAATTTGAGTTGAATGTGTGCAACCGTTCTTAAGATAATGAACGAAAACTGATGATGATGGAATGACAGAATGACGGAAGGACGGAAGGATGGAAGGACGGAAGGATGGAAGGACGGAATGACGGAACAGGGTAACGCTATATGCCCTGGCCATTACATGGCGGGGGCATAAAAAAGAGACCAAAATTGAAAAGCGTCTAAACGCTTTTCACTCAAATAAAGCTAAGAAAGGCATAAAAATATGTTATTTTCAATTAATTTCAAATTATATTTCTTCACTTTCTTTGCATATATTTATGTTTAAAGTGCCCTAGCTCATTTTTTTTAAGAAATTCAAATGTTATATTTTTAGGCTTTTAAACCTCAGTGGAGTCCCTTTAACACTTTCATAATAATAATTTCCATTGTGCAAATTGAGCAGAGAATGAAAAGCTGTCCAATGCTTTTCACTGAAATCAGGGTAAAAAATCACATACAAAATTGATTTTTAATTCAATTCCAAGTACATTTCTTTATTACCCTCTGTCTGCAGATTCTTCCATTATATGCTTCACTTGATCTATGTAAAAATTTCAAAATTTTAAGTTTTTAGTTAAAAATAAAAACAAAAAACTTACATCTTTACACGAAGACTCAATGATGTCATACTCTTTTGTCTGATCCTTCCACCTCTGTTCAGCCATAATCTTTTGACCTTTCACACTCAAGTACCAACTCAGTTTGTCACACTTAAGTGCACGACTGTTTTCACCAGCAGAGACATTACAGCCGACTTTGCTTTGTCTATCATCCAGAGAAGCTGTGAAATTGTCACATTTGATTGTCGGCTTATCTGTAAAAAAAAAAAATACTAGAATTATCACTAAATGTGATTAATACCCCCACAAGACTGCTTCGGAAATGAGGATGTTACTAGTAACAGAATATCTTGTAAAAAAATTGAAATATAGAGTTATGGTTGTGGGCAATTAAAGATAGTTGTGGTTCTTGTATATTGCATTTCCTTTCAATGTGGTTGGCCATTGATGAAGTTTTATTGAATTACTCTGTAATAAGTCCAGAAAGACAAAGAAAAGGAACAAAGGGCAATAACTCTATAAATACTGAAGATGGAGTTATAGTTCTTGTGCACTGCACTTCCTCTTTTTGTGCTTGACCATTGTATGAAGTTGTTTTGAATTTCAACCAGTATGTTTTAAGTTATGCTCCAGACAAGGAAAAGTATCAAAGGGCAGTAACTCTGTATTTGTCAAAATGGAGTTATGGCTCTTATGCATTGCACTTCCTTTTAATGTCCTTGACAACTGTATGAAGTTGTATTGAATTCCAAACAGTAGTTTTCAAGTTATGCTCTGGACAAGGAAAAGTAACAAAGGGCAATAACTCTGTAATTTGTCAAGATGGAGTTATGGTTCTTGTGCACTGCACTTCCTCTCAATGTGCTTGACCATTGTATGAAGTTATAATGAATTCTAACCATGAGTCTTCAAGTTATACTCCGGACAAAAGAAAGCAATGGAAAAGTAACAAAGGGCAATCACTCTGTAATTACTTTAGATAGAGTTATGGTTCTTATGCATTGCACTTCCCCTTACTGTGTTTGACAATTGTATGAAGTTGTTTTGAATTCCAACCAGTAATTTTCAAGTTATGCCCCGGACAAGGAAAAGTAACAAAGGGCAATAACTCTGTAATTAGTCAAGATAGAGTTATGGTTCTTGTGCACTGCACTTCCTCTCAATGTGCTTGACCATTGTATGTAGTTATATTGAATTCCAACCATTAGTCTTCAAGTTATGGTCCGGACAAAAGAAAGCAATGGAAAAGTAACAAAGGGCAATCACTCTGTAATTACTTTAGATAGAGTTATGGTTCTTGTGCACTGCACTTCCCCTTATTGTGTTTGACAATTGTATGAAGTTGTTTTGAATTCCAACCAGTAGTGTTCAAGTTATGCCCCGGACAAGGAAAAGTAACAAAGGGCAGTAACTCTGTAATTAGTCAAGATAGAGTTATGGTTCCTGTGCACTGCACTTCCTCTCAATGTGCTTGACCATTGTATGTAGTTATATTGAATTCCAACCATTAGTCTTCAAGTTATGGTCCGGACAAAAGAAAACAATGGAAAAGTAACAAAGGGCAATAACTCTGTAATTACTTTAGATAGAGTTATGGTTCTTATGCACTGCACTTCCCCTTATTGTGTTTGACAATTGTATGAAGTTGTTTTGAATTCCAACCAGTAGTTTTCAAGTTATGCCCCGGACAAGGAAAAGTAACAAAGGGCAATAACTCTGTAATTAGTCAAGATAGAGTTATGGTTCTTGTGCACTGCACTTCCTCTCAATGTGCTTGACCATTGTATGTAGTTATATTGAATTCCAACCATTAGTCTTCAAGTTATGGTCCGGACAAGGAAAATGCAACGGACGTCTGGACCGACCGACCGACCGCCCGACCGACCGACCGACCACCGGGTGACTCCTATATACCCCCCCAAACTTCGTTTTTGGGGGTATAAAAACTAGAAATGTGTCCATAGGACACGGGTGCCCCCACCGCGCCACTGTTCTGTCAATCTTTTTACTAAGTCAAGGGAAATTACTCTACAAATACTGGATAAATCCACAAGCAAAACCCCAGGTGCAAATCTAAAATATGCTGAGCAACCTGCCTATAAGGTTAAATGACTATGTCAAATCCTTTTTGAGAAACTTGCGACACAAGTTGAAAATTGCAAAAAATTTCTAAGTGAAGGGCAATAACTCTAAAAATACTAAATAAATCCAGACGAAAATACCTGGTGCACAACTGCACATGTTAATCAATATTCCTGTAAAGTTACATGACTCTAGGTCAAATCCTTTTTGAGTTACCTGCGACACATGTTGACAATTGCAAAATTTTACTAAGTCATGGGCAATTACTCTGAAAATACTAAAAATATCCAGACGAAAATACCCAGGTGCACAACTACACATGCTGATCAACATTCGTGTAAAGTTTCATGACTCTAGGTCAAATACTTTTTGAGTTACATGCGACACAAGTTGAAAATTGCAAAATTTAACTAAGTCAAGGGCAATAACTCTGAAAATACTAAAAATATCCAGACGAAAATACCCAGGTGCACAACTGCACATGCTGATCAACATTCCTGTAAAGTTTCATGACTCTAGGTCAAATACTTTTTGAGTTACGTGCGACACAAAAGTGAACGGACGGAAGGACGGAAGGACGGACAAGGGTAAATCTATATGCCCGCCACTAACGTGGGGGCACAAAAATTGAAAGGTCTCACATGAAAGTTTCCAAATTCCCTGCTGGGATTCGAACCCACCATGGTGAGTTGTTTAAAGACAACTGCCTTAACTTGGTAACAAACACATATGTTGGCCGAGCTGTAAAGTTTCCATTTTTTACTATTTTGAAAACAAAATCCTTAAATTATTTTAACCTTAGATCTCATTTGGCATATTAACCCTTAATTTATCTTAGTGCAAGATTTAGTCTTCATCATAAGAATATTCCAAAATTTAGAATTTCAAAATTTCAATTTAACACTTTTTAATCCAATAAACATCAATTAATATATAGTTAAACTTTGTTCGGTCGAACTCGGATCGCTCGAATACCTCCCTTCGCTCGAACTCATCGCCCAGTCCCGGCAAAATTCCTATATAATATATATTGTTCTACCTCGGATCGCTCGAACACCGATCGCTCGAACTCTCGAACCTGATCTCTGGTCCCTTCGGCAGAAATATAGTGAAAATCACACCTTTTCGGTCGAACACAAAAAGACAAGTTGGTATGTCCTAAATAAATGACAGTTGGCGACGCATGTTTTTAACACCTCGTGATTGTGACAAAGGTAATTAAGGTTAATTGATACAAAATAGGAGGTGTTGTAACCGATTTATTTGTATGATAATATTGTTGATTTGCCGTTTATGGTAACAATAAAAAGAAAATAACTTGTGAAATAAGTAAAATATGCATGCCAATAAAGAATGCCGTTTACCCGGACGGCTTTAATTACAACCGTGGTTCATGTAAAGTGAATCGTAACAGACTAACAGTGTTATCTAATTATAGAATGATACTTCTATGTGTGTTTATTTTAGTAAATGACTACAAATAGATGCTGCTGTAAATGTTTTTAATAAATAGTTCATTAATTTATTTTCAAAAATTAAATTCATCCCATTAGAAAACATAAATATATTTTGATCATTGTTCAATAAGTTTGGTGTGATTGCCCAATCGAACTCAACCAATTACAATATGCATGAATATAGATTGACACAGCGTACCGTTAATACTTAATTAAAACACTGGGATAATAATTCTGAATATGAAATATTCGACAAACAGATGTACTAACAAACAATTATATTGACGCATTTATCATTCGACCGATGTAAGCTAGGAAAACCTTTAGGCATATGATCAACGTAATAATAGTTCAACCTCGGTTGGCTCGAACTACCGATCTCTCGAACAAATTTGCACAGGCCCTCCGAGTTCGAGCGAACGAAGTTCGACTGTATTTCATAAACATAAATTTGTTTTTCAGTTAAGCTAAGTGCCCACATAAGACCAACTTATTTAATTTTTCTATCATAACTATCATTTTAGATGTTTACATGTATATACTTTAATACAATAAATCAAATGAATTTATTGATCAAAACCTGAACATCTTATATCGCTATATTAATGTAGAATGCCTGCTTTAGTCACACAATAAAAATATGGTGATGAATACTGCAAAATCAGTCATTCATTGCATGTTGCATGTAATAAGTAATTGATAAAATGAATTGTGAATATTTTTACTTTTTTTAAAATCATGGTACATTTTTCTCATGTTGATTTTCATGGAATGACTTATCTTGAGCCATGAGGCTTAGATAAATCAAAGTGCTGCAGCACTGAATGCGACGGACATGCAACCGGATAGACACCAAGGCTTCTTTTAGAAAAACAAAACAAAATAAAAACAAAACACAAAATATATAACAGAGAAAATTTGTTCCATACAAGTTCGAGATTTGTAGAGCAATATATTTTGTGTCCCAAATTGATATAATTCAGATTTTCTACTTTCAAGCACTTAAATACAGAATGAAATTTATGCCTAAAAACTCTGGTCAAACTTGTAAATCAGTGTCCTTATCGATTTATTCTAAGAAATGATATGTAAATAGAAAAAAAAAACTATCAACGAAATATTTCTAGAATAAATCCAGGCAAATAAAACTTCAAACATTAATACATTGTACATTTGAGAATGCTATTTAGAATTGCTTCGTGTTATCATATAGTGGGCATACAGACAATAAAATATAAGTCATTTGTATTTTATTTCTCTTGGATATGTCTCATTAAAAAAAAAATTGGTTAAAATCATCAGCAATTAATAGTGTATTTCTTAGATTTTTTTTTATTTACAAGGTAAAGATGTAGAGGCCAGAGCACATCGTTTTTATTTTAATTTAAATGTCACTTAAGCACTACAGTGTTTAGTTGTCCTTTTCAACTTCACACTAAATTCCATTTTCAACTTGTTTGCTTCTTACAATTGTATAGCATTTCTAAAACTATTGCATTACAATCCGCTGGTTGTACATCCTAATCGCCTGTCCAAAAATCAGAACAGGTAAAGCAGAATCTATTTTTAGAATATCGAAGGTTAACTCATATCATGACCTAGTAAAATATGTAAACAAACCACAAGAATCGGAAGTAGAACTGATATTATAACTTCCTTACCATGATTTCAAGACTACATGGCGGTAAAGTGTCTTACATGCATTTTCTAAAATAGATATTTATACTAGCCATTGACTGTATCTAATATATTAATAACTGCTGAATATTCAGCTAAACCCGCGGTATGAGTCACGAAAATAGTTCTTCTTTTATTAATGCGCGAGTTATCCTAGAGTCACGAAAAACTTTTGATTTGTTAATAATAATGTTTTGTATAATGTAGAAATATTTATTTCCTACTAATAATGTCTTGGAACTCAGAGGTTACACTTTATTGTAGTATAATTTGCTGTCCTACTTTTTCGACAGCGGTAAATCGTTTCAGCAGTAATTTGCATATTGCGCAATAATACTACGGGACTACAACGTTTTTATCAATAATATACGTTCATATTTTAACTTGGATAACTTAATTTGAAATTGAAAAGGCTTAATATGGAAGACATTAAGATATCCAGACAAAGTATGGGAGTTTTGAAGGATCAAATTCATGTACTATTTCTTGGGCTGTTAATTGGTTTAGGACACATTGCGCGAGTGTAGCCAACGAAATCCCATGTGTAGATGACTTAGCTCTGAACGCGCCTGAGGGCGCGTCCGTCGCAAAAATACCAAACTTACCAATTTGTACCATCAATGCAATTCCTGCCTCCACAGAGGGATATGAGGCTCCGGGGATATTGGCTTTACAAACAAGAGCTTGTGGCGCATTATGAGCATTTATTGTTAAACTGTCAACTGTGAAAGTGCCCGTGTATGATGCAAACTCAGAGGTGGTGTCTGCCATAGTTTTCACTGATACATATGGATTTTGATCGTTCAAGAACAGGTTCATTACTGGTTCAGGATTACTGCCACCGGCATCGCATTTCACCTGTAAAGAAGGTAAAATAATTAAACCAGTTCTTAAGGACAATGAAATGACTCGTCATTTGATTAACAATTGTAGAAATTTCAAAGTTCCTGAAAATCTTGACTTAAGCTTTTGAGTTGTAATTTATATACCCATGATTGCTAATTTGCTACACATAACTAATTTCCAGTACCATAATGTGATGTCAAAGATATTCAAGCCCTGTTAACAGGAAAATTAAGCAGAGACAGAGAATACTGGGACATGAAACTATTTTCAATTAATAGAGAAACCTTTAATACTTATTTGCTGTGGATATCTGGTTTGAAAGCCTGGTTAATAAATATATAGTCATACCATATATTGTCCTGGGGTCAGACGCACCATATCACCTGGCTTTGAAGCAGAAACTGGTTTCCTAGACCGTGCAAGGACATTATGGCTAGCATCATGGATTTCAATGCCAACAGTTTCAACTGGGTCTGAAAGGAATGAAACAAATCATGACATAGTGGAAAATAAATTAGAGATTAGACAAAAAAAATAAAAATATGGATGCATTTTACATTATTTTAAGTAATGCTTTAACAAAGTATTCTGGTAATGAAAATGTCAGGTATGTATGGAACAGTTCAAAAAACAAGATCTGTCACTCCAGACAGCACAGTCGACTCTGGTTATATACTGGATGCAGTAAATAAACACAAAACTGGAATTAATACTAAATTTTATTTGTTGATTAATATCAATGTAAAATTTCAACACCTCATCAAGTAACATAAATGTCAAAGATAGTGAAACATGAAATATCAACAGAAATTTGTGTTGTAACTTTTTTTCTTTAGGTTTAAAGTCGCACCAACACAATATGAGGTCACATGCCGACTTTCCAGCAAGATCTCATGTGCCCCTTTATACATCATTTCAGACAAAACAGGCACAGAACCACCGAAGTTCTGTCAGCTAGCTAGAGAGCTTTCTCATAGGAAAGAATCCAGACACTGATGTGGCTCATACCTCCAGCAGTGAGAGGCGAGTGCTTTGAAGTCCATGACCTTAACCCATCGGCCACGGACGACTCGAGAGTGTTTTGAAGTCCATGACCTTAACCCATCAGCCACAGACGACTTGCGAGTGCTTTGAAGTCCATGACCTTAACCCATTGGCCACAGATGACTCGCGAGTGTTTTGAAGTCAATGACCTTAACCCATCAGCCACAGACGACTTGCGAATCAGCCACAGATGACTCACGAGTGCTTTGAAGTCCATGACCTTAACCCATCAGCCACAGATGACTCACGAGTGTTTTGAAGTCAATGACCTTAACCCATCAGCCACAGATGACTCACGAGTGCTTTGAAGTCCATGACCTTAACCCATCGGCCACAGACAACTCGCGAGTGTTTTGAAGTCGTTTATGACCTTAACCCCTCGGCCACGGACGACTCGCGAGTGTTTTGAAGTCAATGACCTTAACCCCTCGGCCACGACGACTCACGAGAGCTTTAAAGTCCATGACCTTAACCACTCGGCCACGACGACTCGCGAGTGCTTTGAAGTCAAAGACCTTAACCACTCAGCCTTGGACGACTCTTATTATACTACAATACAGTATTATATTATCTGGTTATTTTGTGTACAAGGTTCACAAATCTTTAAGTAATATAACAATTCACAATCTTTGCAGTAATATCATTTAACAAATCTGATTTTAGCCGTCTTGTTGTACCTGATACTTTCTTATTACTTCACATATTGTTGTCCAGGGTTTTTTTCTGATGACAATGCAACATCATTCTTTTTGTCCAAGACTTTAAACTAGTTAAATTTTATTTCTAATTTTTTCCTATAGTACAGTACAATTACTTACTGGTTACAGTGAGTTTCACTTCCTTTGAGTCAATCAGCACGTTATCTTCACCTATCAAAGAGCACTTGTACACCCCATTATCAGCACGGTTCACACCTGACCAACAAGAAACAAATTATCCAATTAAGGTAAAGCACAGATAAGCATGTAAAACATTCGTAAAAAATATCTCAATAATTATTTCATCTTACTAATTCATTTTATCTTCTTTAAATCTTTATTTTCAAGTTATCAAAATCAAGAAATATTTTTATAAATTTATAGGTATTCAGCTTTGAAGTCATTGAATAATGAATATACTGTATTAAGTTAATAAAATTAAACAATAATAATTATCAAGTTAAATAATAGGCAAAATGACCAGAATTTCTGAAAAACAGTTCATATTTTAAATATTAAGAAAATAATTAATTAAAAGTGTCATGAACAATCTTTATTACATAAATGTTGTTTTAAAATATCAATAAAAACATTAAGATTATCAAGAGAGAAAGATGACAGTTTCCTAACATTACACAGCGTTAAAAGTTTGTCTTATAATACATTCCACAATTGACCAAAATCATGCTAAAATTGTCTAGTTTGTACAAGCTTTCTTTGTTTCCCTTCCAATTTGATTTTTTTTCTATTCATCTATTATAATTTAATTAGAAGAAATAAATATCCCAGTCTGTAACTATATTAAGTTTCATTTTATCATATTTTTCTTAACTTTACACTGTTGTTCCCACAGTGACACAGTAACTTTTTAAAGAAACCTAAACTGTACATGTATAAATAATTTTGTTAAGAATGCCCATTTTAACATGTTATGAGGCCTATCAGCTTTATGTACTACATGTATTTCCAATTTTGCTTAACAATTAAATAGCTTTTATTGTTCAATTAAAATGACATAAATCTTAATATTTCCTGTAAATGACAATAATTCCACAATTCTGTAAAAGCTTATCATTCTTGTTTAATTGAAGCACAAAATCAATACAATTGATAATTTATTATTTAATTAATTAATTTAACTTATTGTAATTGTTGATTGTTCTATTATCATTATTATTATTTTCATTTTTACTACAATACATATTGATTCTTTAGATAATAAGCAACAAGAGAAACTAAGTTGTTCTTCTAAGTTGTTAGTAAAACTATAGCTACTGGACATGCTACAGGTGTAGTGCTCTATCATGCTTTAATTGTGACACTGTGCTAAACAGGTTAAACTGTAGGCAGATCAAGCAAATTTGGCGTTGTATTTGATTTTTTTCTTAATATATATTGTATTATGCAAATAATAATATCAAAGCTGATAAAAATGCATGCAATGCAGAATAATTACAGCAAAAAATGTACTCATCATTTTATTATCCCCCCCCCCCTTCTAAAATTTCGAGTTTGTAAAGGAGATTTCAATTTTATGTTATTTTTGAACAGGTACAAAACAAAAGCTTTGGCAGGATGGGAATGTAACTTAAAGCAATGCTGGTGGAAAATTGCAACAAAGGCTTGTGGGATTCAGGCATATTGTAACATTATACTGAAACTACGAGGAAAATGATGTAGGTCGGGATGATGATGATGATGATGATGATGATGATGATGACGACAATGATGATGATGATGACGACAATGATGATGATGATGATGATGACGACAATGATGATGATAATGATGATGCCTATGATGATGATGATGACGATGACAATGATGATAATGATGATGATGACGACAATGATGATGATAATGATGATGCCTACGATTATGATGATGATATGCAATTCATGGTACAGGTTAAAAATTAAAAACAATATAAACAATACTGACAAAGAAAAAATATCAACAAAACAAAATTAATAAGTCAGTCAAAATAATCATGCAGTGAAAACCTCCACAAATATACAAAATATACACAGATGCTGAAATACAGTTAAATCTTTTAAAAAGTGATGGCATACAAATGCCTTTATTCTTTTTCCCCCATCATGCATCATTCTGATCACTACTTAAACCCTAAAATACCAAGACTATAAAGTTGTATACATTATAAATAGTGGTGAAAGTAACAATCTGACATCTTCACAAGATGAAAGTTTTCTAATATATGCCAAAACAAGGGCGTTTTTTATATCTAAAAACATTGAAAAATATTAAACAAGGAGGCAAAAAGACAATAAAATTGAAAACACAAAAACACAAAAAACACCCCAAAAAAAACAACAAAAAACAACAGCTTTTGAAAGCAGCTAAAATGATGATATTTAGCCTACTTTACACATGGGTATCGATAAGTAAATGAGAACTAATACCAACTTGATGGTTATCCAATTAGTGAATTTAACTAAATAAAGTTAACCAACAAAGGACAAATCAATGGAACTTTAAGCTGTCCTGAAAGATCAACAACATTTCTACTAAACACACCTTCACCACGATTTACTTTGTATACTGAAACAGTTAGTAAAAACAATAACCTTTTTTACAACTAATAAATAAGAAGTATTTCTAGATCAGAAAAAATTTTATTTGGCTAAATGTAATGCCAAATTTTTTTTTCCAAATAGAAAAAAAACTCAACAGTTTCGAGTCTGAATTTAGCACCTGAGATCTTTATATCAAATTTGTATCCGGAGTCACCACGGTCATACGACAGTTCGTAGCGTGAACCGGCGTTTTCAAATAAAGCAGCGGCCTCTTTGGTTGAGTAGAAACCTTCCGTTAAAAGGAGCTCAGACGAGCTATTGTTAACCCTATAAGTCCAAGTTATCCTGTCAATCAAAGCAATAGACATGTTAAGCAAAAAAAATGTGCAAAGCAAATACCAGACCTAAAATAAACCAAACATTGTGTGGTTGGTGCAAAAAGACTGTGTCCATAACTGATAAGCTGCGAGTTACAAACTCTTTGCACCATACACTCTAAATATATCTTGATATGTTGAAAGACTTCGAAGTACTGAAAATTAACGAGCTGATGAAAACTATGACGAAAAGCCAAAAAAATCTTCAAAAAAGCAGCAAAGATTTTCAATCAACATTTTTTTGCTTAACTCAAAAACATTTTATAAACAATATAATTTCCAAATGAACCATTAATCTGCTAAATTTGTGTGCTTTGCATTTACAACAAACAGTACATTCAAACAGAAGGGATTCATTATCAAAATACAAAACACTAAGCTACCAGCAGTACAGAGTCTGGCCAGACGACTGACCATCATACTGGTGGCAAATGCTTTTCACTTTATTTCTAGCAGATTAAAGGCTTTGAGAAATCACACAAATCTTTTTACATATCAAGATATCAGCAAAGAAATTGTAGCAATACAATATGCCAGTATAAAGCATACAGAAACTCGCAACGTTATAACAATTCGCTGTTTTTTAGTAAAGCTCCAATTTTTTGCTTGGCAAAAAAAAAAACAGAAGAGAATGTCACCATCTTAACCCAACAATATATTAACAGTTACTATGTATGCACTGCTCAATTCTGATTTATATATTTACTAAACATCCAAACTGATTTTTAGTATGTAAATATTGTGGTTCAGTCTGTACCAAAATACCCATATCTAATTAATAGTCATCTTGCATAACATTAAGTCTGGATGCTGGTTGTCCAGTACCATTTAAAATGCCTCTGTTTCGGATAATTTTGCTACGACTAATAATGTTTCTAGAAAATAAATTACACAGACACTGCAAGAACCTGTTTCCAACTGGAATAGCATGTACAGCAAATATTTGGTTTTGACAAATTAACAGCATAATAATTAACAACCTTGGCTGGAGTCATTGAATTGAAGATTACAATGGTATTTGAACTGGGGTATATGGTATTCAAGTTGAAAGTAAACCAGGAGTATGATAATTCAACTCCGGTATCTTCATTTACTCAATTAAAAAAATCATTTTTTATTTTCAAGGTTTTTTTATTTCTATCAAGACAAATGTGTCTTAAATATGGTTAGTATACGATCAGAATTCAGTGTGCTAATAATAGTATCATGTGATACAAAAATAAACATAATCATAAACTAACAAGTACAGAGATAGCGTAAAAATACAAAATGACATTTTCTGAGAAATTCTAATAACATGTACAACTGGTACCAAATAAAACTAGCAAAAATCTTGAATTTAAAAAACTAACTGCCATTCTAAAACACATGTCATGTACATTTTTTTTTTCAACAAAGAAAAAAAAATCATACACATTTAAAAATTGGCAGAACTTTGTCATTTTGCATTATAAAGAAATAAAGCCACAAAAATCACCGTAATAATATGCATGTTTGAGCTAAGCAACAATGGTCTGACAATGCACCTTGGTTTTGTTCAACTATATGATATAGTTTATAAAGAGATGATAATTTTGAAAAAAGATCAGTTATTTTTAATGACAATTTGGCCTCATTTTGGTACAACCAATGAAATCAGTTATTTTTAATGACAATTTGGCCTCATTTTGGTACAACCAATGAAATCAGTTATTTTTAATGACAATTTGGCCTAATTTTGGTACAACCAATGAAATAAGTTATTTTTAATGACAATTTGGCCTCATTTTGGTACAACCAATGAAATCAGTTACTTGGAATGACAATTTGGCCTAATTTTGGTACAGCCAATGAAGTCAGTTATTTTTAATGACAATTTGGCCTCATTTTGGTACAACCAATGAAATCAGTTACTTGGAATGACAATTTGGCCTCATTTTGGTACAACCAATGAAATCAGTTACTTGGAATGACAATTTGGCCTCATTTTGGTACAACCAATGAAATCAGTTATTGACCTTATTTTGGTAAACCAAAAATATGAAGTTATTCCAGAATGACAATTTGGTTTCATTTTAAAGCATTAGTTCAGAATATGTTAATATTTGAACAAATTATTTCCCGACGATGGGATTTAAACCTGCTCCATTTCACTTAATAATAAAGATATATTGCAAGCATAGTTAGATAATAAAAAAAAACGAAGTATTAATTTATTATTTTTCAACCTTTCACAAAGTTAGATGCTAAAATTAAATCAGTTTAGACAAGCAAAAATACTTTAAAAGAAAAAGAACCTTTCAAGAAAAATTGTAAATAAGAAAAAGAGATAATTATTGTGAACATTAATATTAAAATCCAACATTTTATGATCACTAAATGACCAATACTCAATTTCTTGTCTGACCCTTGACCTTTGTATGTGACCTTGACCTGAATTGTGTGCACAAAACTAGAGTGCCATACAATATTATTGCCAAGTTATATAACATTAAATGTAGAAGTTTCGCTTTTAAGTGTTACCTTGACCTTTGACCCAGAGACTTGATTCATGTGTGCAACACTAAATCTCATTATGATATATTTGTAATGAGTAATCCTTAGACTCCATGCTGGTGTAGAAGATTACTATTCTCAAGACAAAGTATTTCATCTTTTCTGGTGGCCTTCACCTTGCATATTATTGACATTGATTATACTGCCAAGATGCGAGCATAACTGATAAAATTCAAGAATACAAAATTGTTCATACAAAAGTTATCGAATTTGTATCTGACATTTGACCTCTTTAGGTATGCATAACCTTGACCTCTGCTGTCCTGCCTTTTGCCCATCTCCTAGAGGCCATCGATCCAATAATACATCTTGTTTTTAATCTATTTTTCATATAAAAAAATCAAAACATGCAAAAGATATTATTGTTAAACTATCTGTTTATTTGCAGCCAATGATATGACAGGCTTTTATATTATACAGCCATTCAAGCTGTTATTAATAAGCTTTATAAATTATTTGCTAAAAAAAACCAACAAACAAATGGAAATTGATCTGAAATTTTGTCACAGGTTCTATTTTTTTGAAGACTTATTTTTCCAATATAATTCCTCTAAGGGAAATTTGACCACTTTTTACAGACACGTTCTCATAAGTTAAATAGCAATGCATACATTATTACATGATTTCATCAGCTAACGTTCAGCAATAAAGGATTAAGTTTGTCATCGAAATTACAGTACAGGGGCAATGAATTTAACAATTATGGAAAGACAGAATCATGGAGCAGTTAAAAATGACTCTAGCATGGTCACAGACTTTGTACCTGAGCTAATCACAGCATACACCCTATGTCACAGCATACTCAATATGTCACAGCATACTCCATATGTCACAGTATGCTCCATATGTTGCAGCATGGAAACCTTGAATCTTTATTATGAGTTAGAGAAGTTGCTGACAGGAATATCGGAGATATTATTAAATCCAGAATCAGATAAATATGACCATAGAACGCAAATTGTAATTGAACACAAGTTCATAAGAAAAAGCAACCATAAATAAGTTAACGTCAGGCCTTCAACAGTTACATGAGCACTGCGCAATAAGAAGTAATTCAAATATAAAGTCATTATAGCCATGTAACTTCAAACTTTTTTTTAAGAAATGACATTTGAATCAAACAAGAGCCCGGTTTGAGCCGGGTGATGCTCCCCGAATAGGTTTTGGACACAGGAAAGTACACCTCTTGTAGTTTCAGAGTTATCTCCCTGGAAAAAGTTCAAAGTGCAATAATTCCAAAATAAGGAAAGGCAGAGTTACTGTTCTTTCCACTGCACTTCTAATCACTGTTATCTATCAACTTACAAAGTTTCTTGTTGATATCTCTTATGGTTTCCGAGTTATGTTCCGGACAACTTCAAAAAGTAAAAATAAACAAATGGCAATAACTCCAGAATTAGGCAAGGCAGAGTTATGATTCTTGTGCACTGCACATCTACCCATTGAGATACATCTACCTACAAAGTTTCATATCTCTTATAGTTTTACAGCTATGTCCAGTACAAGATTTTTCTAAAAGGGGAGATAATTCAAAAATGAGGCTTAACAGTGTTATGTTTTTTTTGCACTGCACTCCTACTCAATTAGATCTATCTACCTACAATGTTTCATCTTGATATCTCTTGTAATTTTAGAGTTATGTTCCGGACAAAGTTCAGTGTTAAAATTAACAATGGGCAATAACTCCAAAATTAGGACAAAAAGAGTTATTGTTCTTATGCACTGCACATCTACCCAATGAGATCTATTCACCTTCAAAGTTTCATGTTGATATCTCTTGTAGTTTTAGAGTTATGCCCCGGACAAGATTTTTCTATATCTACCTACAATGTTTCATCTTGATATCTCTTATAGTTTTAGAGTTATGTTCCGGACAAAGTTCAAAGTGTTGAAATTAACAAAGGGCAATAACTCCAAAATTAGGACAAAAAGAGTTATTGTTCTTATGCTCTGCACATCTTATTGTTCTTATGCTCTGCACATCTACCCTTTGAGATCTATTCACCTACAAAGTTTCATGTTGATATCTCTTATAGTTTTAGAGTTATGCCCCGGACAAGATTTTTCTTTAAGGGGAGATAATTCAAAAACCGGGCAAAATAGAGTTATGGTTCTTTGACACTGCACTCCCCCTCAATGCCCTCTACCACTGTATGAAGTTTAAACAAATTATCTTCAAGGGTTTTCAAGTTATGCTCCGGACAAGAAAACGGACGGACAGACGGACGGACGGACAGACGGACAAGGCGCCGACTATATGCTCCCCCGAAATTTTTTGGGGAGCATAAAAATACCCCATGTACAAGGAACTAAACAGGATAATAAATTGTATGCACACATGCAGGTAAATGTGTATGAATGTTGAAATACATTGTTATTTGTGTGTGCACAGGTTCTTCACAGTATATATATATATATTATGGCATTGTAAAC